AAAAAAAAAAATTGTAATGAGAAGAAAAACAACAAAAAGAGAGAGAGATGGATAAAACCCGGGAAAACAAGTGATGCAATTGCTCACCACCCGCCGACCGACCCCCAGCCAGTCCCCGAGCAGCAATTGCTGCCCCCCAGCCAACTCCCCCCAGCTTATGTACTGAGCATGACGTCATATGGTATGGACTATCCCATTGGCCAATTTGGGTCAGTTGTCCTGGCTATACTCCCTCCCAGGTTCTTGTGCACCTCCTCGCTGGCAGAGCATGGGAAGCTGAAAAGTCCTTGACTTGGTATAAGCACTGCTTAGCAACAGCTAAAACATCAGTGTGTTATCACATTATTCTCATGCCAAACCCAAGACACAGCGCTATAACAGCTACTAGGAGGAAAATTAACTCTATCCCAGCCAAAATCAGGACACTATCAATAGCAAAAATCATGTTTATGGGGCTAGTAGTTGGAAAATATTTGTGTCTGCCTCTCAGATTGGTCCTTGTGGAGTATTAGAGCCATACGATTAAATACTTAATAATTTCTTGCTCCCTAGTTTCCAGGAGAATGTTAGTTTTTAATTTTTATGTATAGGTCAGTTAGCAATTTAGATGGTGCTAGCCTGTGGCTTTGGTTTGGATTTTACCAGTTTTTGGGCCCATTCCTTCTTAAATGCCTGGGTGCTCCCAGCTGATAGAGCAGAGGAGCATCTCTGTGCTTTGCGGACAGGTCTGTGTCACAGGTGGCTGGCTGCTGGTAGAGCTGTGTTGATCAGAGGTGGCAGAATGTGGTGCATCAGTGATGGAATTTTATAGGAAAAATGTGCTTTTGTCTGCCTTGATAATTTTGCTCCAACATCCAGGGAAGTCCTTTTTGTTTAGAGTTGACTGATGCTTGCAAGAAGGATGCTTCTATGGATGGCTAACTGATTGGATTTTTTTTTTTTTTTTAATTACAGGTTCGAGTCGTCCTCCCATGCTATTAGCATGAGTGCCTATTTGCGTGAGCAGAGAAGGGAACTGTACAGCAGAAGTGGAGAACTTCAAGGTGGGGTAGTAGATAGTGTGCTACTTTGGATAATTCTCTTTTGCAGGAGCTTGAATATCCTGTCCATGCTATGTCAGGGTATTAATACCTCTCTACTTTGCCACACAGGCTGTCTAAATCTCTCCAGTTTTTAAGCTCTGATTATTTATTCTTATTATGTTGTGAAGCAGCAGGGTTTCTCTTTATTCCCTCTGCATTTTCAGCTAGAGGCTGAGGTCTTAAAATATACTCATAAAACAGTGGGTGAAATGCAAACAATCTTACCGTAAGCACTGCTTTTGGATAGTTGGAGCTAATGTCTGCTTCCTTATCTGCAGTTTATTTCCTTACATCATATGCTGAATGTGATACTTACCCTGGATTGCTTTGGGAGCTAAGCTCAGTCATCTCATATTTGAAGTTGCAAGTTTCTGTTGTATGGACTAAAGTGACCAATTCTTTGTCTTTTGTATCACACTTGAAGATGAAGAGTTGCAGAGTGTTTGAAAATGGTGAATTTGAAGAGTTGGACTACTCTTGCTGGTTTATATTGCTCGTGGCAAGTACTGTATATACACAGAGACGTGTTTTCTCCTCTGAGCAGGACATCATTTCATGTTTTTTTCCTGAATGGTCTAATTTATAAAACTGTTGGTTTTGGGAGCAAAATCAAGGGAAGATCTTAAGGCTCTCATGATAATGTATATCAGGACTAAATTATTTTGTATCATCTATTGTAGTTTCTTACTGGGCTAATCATAACAAGAAAATAATATATACTCTTCAAATATTACAGTGATGGACAAGGGTAGAATTTCTCCTTGAAATCTTACCCATGATAACTTTCAGTTGGCTTTTAATAGAGGATGTTTTATAATTTACAAGAGAATTTTTGGTTGACTTTGTGTTCCGTTCCTCCTTTTATAACTTAGTTGTCCTCAGTGACAAGTTAAACCCACAAGTGTGAAAAGAAGCCTTCAGAGATATACAGTGTTCTTGCGGACAGATTGCTTCACTTAGATGACTCTACAAAGATGATCTTAGTATTGATGATTAAGGATATAATGATTCACTCTATGGTAAATATTCAGATACTTCTGGATAAATCTGAGATAAACATGTACTGAAGTTGACGGTTGCCCACACTATGATCTGACAGCATACAAGAATAAAATAAAGTGGAGATACCGGTCTCTTAAATTATGGCATCACCATTTACGCGCACTTGGAAGGTGTTTAGCTTACAGCTCTTTACCTTTTGAGACTCAAGTTCTCACCTTCAAAATCCATCACATGGTCTTGTGCCCAGGATTAATAGCAGGATGTTGTGAAGTGTAAGCTGTTTTATTGCCCCATCATTTTCTTATACCAGTGGGCAGCAGGATTTAAGTAGTTACTTCTCTACAGTTAATAGCTCTGTGTTACAAACTGCATGGGACAAATGTGGGTTCAAAGCCAAGAATTTTGAAGCTATTGAGGGCACTAAGTTTGGAGCAGTGATGGGGCCATCAGGGAGCCTGCAACACTTGCCTCAAAAATTTCAGGTCACTTTGGGATGAGTCCTGTTGCCTTCTGTCATTCCCTGTTGCCTCCACCCTGACCTGACCAGTTGTCCATGTTGCTGTAGAAACACAGTAGAGAACAGTATTGACTCACTCCACATCTGTGTCCTCTTCCAGGTACCTTGTGGCTGAGAACTGGGTATTTTTGTGGTTACTGTTGCTGTTAGGCGGAAGTGAGGATTTGTTTTTAAATAGGTCCTTTCCTGGGTTCAGAACCCGTTACTGACGGGCACAGCCAGATTTCATGAGAGAGTGACTCCTTATTGATATAAGACAAATCTTGAGGCAACGTTTGTCATGAGTGGGAGATTGTGAGCGTTTTCAAGAGAGGAGGATGCAAAAGAGAGCTGTGCAGACTTCCAGCTGCCGAGCTAGCACAGGGTTGGAAAGAACAAAGCCTATGAGCTGACAAAGAAGTAAAGGACAAAATATAGGAATTAGTGTGGATAGGGACAAGATTATATTGCCCTTTCTGGATGAATTGGAAGAGTTTGAACATGATGCAATAGGTGACAAAAAGTCAATGTAGGGAGTCAATAGGGACAATAGATGAGATGACTTTGCTGAGAAATCTTTGCACTTTAACCATCAAGAAAAGTTTCCCTTTGAACTTTATGTTAAAAATGTACTGTCCTCTCTTTCTATTATAAGCTGCTGTTCCCTTTTAGGTAGCTCATTCATCTTGCCAACTCCCAGACCACAGCAAGATCTGCATTTTGATTTTTTTTTTTTTTTTTTTTACCCCTTTTAAAGAGAAATACAATTTAATTTTTCAATCAGGTTACTGGAAGGCAGGCATGTGACACTCTTTTCTGTGAATGCCACACAGTTTCTCTTCCTGACAGCCTTATCCACAGGGATGATTTTTCAGTGGCAGCAGGGGAAGGGTGGCTTGTTAGGAAATCTTTTTCCTGAAAAGATCTTCAAAGAAACATGTGCATTAAAAAAAAGAACTTACAAAAGTTTGGCTCATGCCAACTTTTTGAAATAAGAATTTAATTTAAATAGCCTTAAAATGTGTGAAGATCAGAGTGATGCTTTGTCATTAACCTCTTTCATTTGGGCTGAAATAGTGCAGTGCATAAGGCACACATTATCCCTCGGTGGGAGAAAGGGACCTGCTGTAAGTGATTTAGAGATGGAAGGATTAATTCTTGTGTCTTATTCCACTGAAATTGGAGGGGGAAGACTTAGGCCATGTATTTTTCCCTTCAAGTTGGACACACAAGTTGTTTGACAATAGTTATTAAAAAGAAGGGGAAAAAAAAAAGCAAGTACATAACTGAAATATTTCCTTCTAGACTAACATAGATGTGGTGCCCCAGGTTGTTGTTGGAAGTACAGCGTCAGAGGTGGTTTCTTCTCTACAAAACAAGTAATGATCATCATTAAGCTTCGCATTTCTTTTTTCCCCCTAAGAGCACGTCTTGGCCATGTGCTGGCTGGGCAATTTACATTTTCCTTGTTGGAGCTCTCCTGCCATTTGTCAAATATGATGTTGTTTTTATAGACTGTCTTAAATAATGGGGGTATATTTTAAAAACAAGTAAGTTTATTCTACGAGCAGCTGAATGACTGAAGCCTTGTTTGTCGCAGATGAGTCTCCTTTTCTCCCTTAATGCCCTTCCGTCATTAGCCACACCTCTCACCATGTCTCTAAACCTGCTTCATCCCCCTCACTTCTTTCTTCCTGGCACCCACCAGTGCCTGCCTATGTCCCCAAACCACGCACTAAACAAAAAGAAGCATGTACCATGGCTGGATGAAGCGAAGTACGTACCGAGCAAGCAGCCAGCCCCGTGCTGAGGAAGCAAATGTGCTGGTTGCTGCCTGGCGGGTTGGTCCAACAGCGTGGAGAGCTAACACGTCCTCACTGCAGCTTTTCCTTCCGTGGAGGCACATGTTTCGTCTGCACGGCTGTTTTCACAAAACCTCTAAGAATTTACTGCTTTTAAGATCTATGCCTCTGCCACGTTCGGCAGAAATTGGCTCACCAGCTCAATTGTTGTGAGGATGGTACAGCCAGCTGGACAGACAGAAGATCAGATAACTCTTATTTTCATCGGAAACTAGGCTAAAATGTTGCTGTATTTCACCAGAGAGGTGGTTGCTTGTCGCTGACCGGTGGAATGAATCCCATGTGTGCACCTTATTTCATTCCACTGCTGCCTTCAGTTACCAATGATTTCTTGGGAATAAAAATGTGATTTCTTGCCGTTGAGGGATGTCAAGGACTGCAGGAGGGGACAGTAGATGGTAGGAGGGTGTCACTGGGGCTGCATAGTAAGGCAGGAGACAGTCTGCAGGGACCTTGAGGTTTTTTCATTAAATTGAATGTAACTGGTATCTGGGAAACACGGTTTCAAGCAAAAAATAAAGAGCAAGACCACTACTATTCTGCATAGTATCTATGCATGTCTGGATTTCTGATTGTGTGTTCTGGTAATGTGTTTTAAAAGCACTAACCCAAGTTTTAATTTCATTGTACTGAGCATGGTACATACATGATTTGTGCATTGTATATACCTGAAAGGATTAGTTTTCACATGATCTAGCAGCCTTTACCAGCAGTTGCCTTGCACAAGTGCCTTGAAGTCTGTCTTCCAGGGGTTTACATGGCTACATTTTGTGTGGCTGGGACAAAGGGGCAGTGGCAGGGGCTGGATTCTGGAGATGCCAGTCAATTGGAAAAAACCCCGTAAAAAAAAAAAAAAAATGGAAGCCAACAACAGAAGCAAAAGAAGCCATAACCGAAAATGGAAAGCTCAGTGGACGATAATCTTTATTTCAGAAGGTGCCTAATCTGAGCTAGTGATCGATCTTACTCGTGGATAGCCTCGTGTGCGCAGGATTCAGGAGACCTGGGTGGGAGAGCTCCGAGGGCACGAGATGTCTCGCCAGCAGCCGTGCACCGTGCTGCTCGCTGTTGGCTGATAATTTCTAGCACCGTATTACTTTGTCGAAGGTGGTGTCAGTTATAGGCTGCTTTTACATATATCGGGTATTGTTTCGGAGTCCTGTGGCCACAGGGAATTCATGTAGCTGTATATTGTGCTCACGGTAACGGTGGCCTCAGTTTAGTTTATCAGCAGAAATGGGAAAAGACGTTTTTATACGCTGTGAAAATCTGAAGAGCCTCGAGGGTGCTGATCAGAATGGAAAATAGCATCCGGTTTCTCCGTTACCTGTGCGTGTGCAGGCCCTGGTAGTTCATATCAAGGTCAGCTTTGCTGGTGGTGTACATCTGGGCCGTTTTTAAGGATGAAATGTTAAGTGCTCCCAAGCAGCTGTTGTTCCCATGGATGTTAATGGACTCCACAGCTGCTCAGCACCTCTTAAAATTTGGGCTTGTTATTTGTTTCACCCTGGAAGCTCAGTGCACTTCAGCATTAATTAAACTTCTCAGTGTCTTTGCGGAGTAGGATTTTATTTGGATTGAGGCTGCACAAGCTGCAGTAT